GCTGGCATTTGATGACGTTCTCCCATCAAAAAGATGATGGTTTGCCTAGCATACTACAAAATGTTGGTAACACCCTAAATACTGAAAGTAGAGAAAGGCCTGAATAAATTATACAAACTCACAGTTGTGTAATTTGTTCTATGGAATCATTGATATGCACATTATAGATTACAATAAAATGAACATATTTTTAAGAAGAAAAATATACCATGTACTGTTCAGAGTACACATACTTCACATACTTCAAAGGGCAAGTTTGAAGTTTGTATGTAATATACATCGGGTCTATGTTTTAAAACCACATATATGAGAAAAGGGGCCAGAAGGATACATTAGAATGCTAACACTGTTGAGATTATGAGGAAACTTTCTTCTCTTGCTTTTTCTGCTAATTTTTATAACGCTAAAACATTATTGTAAGAAAAATTTGTTTTTGTTTTTAGAGACAGAATTTTGTTATGTAGCCCAGGCTGTTCCACCCAGGCCGGAACTGCTAGGGATCACAGAACAGCCTCAAACTTTTGATCCTCCTATTTTAGCCTCCCACGTTCTGGAATAACAAGTGTGTACCACCACCCCCAGCTAGATACCTTTAAATATGATTTTATAAAATTACTTTCAGATCACTTCCACACCCATTATATCATCTGATCTTTGTAGCAACCCTTCCACTGGAGTTATGGTTAAATAATGCCATTTAGTAGACTAGAAAACTGAGGCAATATGTTTATGACTTAGACCAAGTCACTCAGTTACTGAACCACCTGTGGGTGGTTCTCAGCTCCCTAGAGCTCTGCTAACACCTTGGCTTCCGTGACTTCCTTTGAGATTCCTGGGGCTCTAGGACCTGCTTTCTTAAGTGGGAATAGCTGCTATGATTCTCCTGGGACCCAAAGACTGGGCCCTGTAGTTCTTGATGACAGACTATACAGATGTCCTCAAAGAAGCAGTCCCTACCCGGGGTGCTCTGGCATGCTCCTCTCAGACATAGTACCCACGTGAGTTAAAGTTTTGGAACTGTTCAGGGCGAAGCGGGAAACCAAGGGCAGGCTGTGTCTGAGAACCAAACCAGACAGCCTTTTCCTCTGTAGTTTTTGGAGAAGTGGAGCTGCAGAAATGGATTCGGCTATGTGTCATTCAACATCTTTCCTCCAAACTGCCTCTCTCAGCTCTCAGAGGCCCCTAAGGGACACATGGGTAACTTTTTAGAGTCTTCAGGGTCGTCAGAGCTCAGCTCCGGGGACCTGCACATCAAAACGCTGGAACCCTGGAAAGAGGGCAAGCTTTGCTCAAGAATAGCCAAGGCAGAACCAGCCCAGGGCCAAAGTCCCCATCCAGCCCAGGATGTAGGGCTAGTTGCTGTGCCTGGTGAACAGAGCTGGTGAAGGGGTCACAGCAAGCTCTGAGAAAGATTCAAGGGTATCCAGAAAGCCTCCCTGCTTCACAGTTAAAGACGCCGCTACTGAGGGCTCCAACCGTGTGTTTTGTCCTTGGCACGAGGTGCTAGTTGGGCACTAGGTGGTACTACAAATGCCATTTTTCCCTCAGTGGGGAATAAGCCTGGAGAAGGGAGTGAAATGACAAGGGGCAGGGCTGCTGAGCGCAGCATCCACGATCCGAGCGCCTTCCACGCGTCAGCGCCCACTGTGCACTGCCTCTGTTTCTATCCATTTTGGAGACTTTAATTAGTAAGCCTCACACTCAACTTAGCGGGCAGCATGGGTTCTGGCAGAATACAGAAGAAAACCCAGTCACTCCCGAGGTGAAGAAGTGGGGTCAAGACTAGCAGACAGCCCAGCCGATGCGCCCCCCGCCCCAACTTGTGTTTCTAGAGTTCTGTGAGCAAATAGTCTTGGAGCCTGGAGCACAGAGTTAAAGGGGCGGAGTGTGGGAAGGGATTGTGCACTGAACTGCAGAAATCTTTAAATATCTATGGAACTTTCTTTTCTTTCCTTTTTTTTTGCTTTGGCTCCCTGCAATGTTTTTGTGTTTAGTTTTGGTTACCACGAGTGTACTGTTTATTTAGCTGCCTGGTTCCTTCCCCTCCCCTCCAAGTGCCCCCCCCCCCCC